ATCGGTCTCGTGGTGTAATGGTTATCACTCAGGACTTTGAATCCTGCGATCCGAGTTCGATTCTCGGCGAGACCTTGCAACTTTTTAAAATTTGATTTTTAATAAATCAATGGAAAGAAATCATTTTTTTTTTTTAAAAAAAAAAAAAAATAAATATAATTAAGAAAAAAGATAATTTTGCATTTTTATTCTTATTTAAATCCATTTATAATAATAATATATAGTAAAATATTAAATATACAAAGTAATAAAATAAAATAAAAATACAAAAAATAATGAAATAACATCTAAGGGGGAAAAATTTTATTTGTCAATTATTATTAGATTTAAATAATAATAGATTATTTTCTTGTCTAATATAATTATTATTTATAATGTTCTTATATGGTTTTTAATTGTGATAAATAAAAATTATCACATTAATCAATTATTCAATCAATCCATTTATTACCATAAAAATCTCCAATATATAACTATTCCAAATATAAAAATTATAAATGCCAAAGGTCCATATTTACGGTAAAGAAGTTGTAGATGAAGATCTCTTGCTGATTTTTTATATTTTTGAGACTCGTAACGAAGTTGATCAGATAAAGAACTCATTTCTATGCATCCGCAAAATTAAATAATTATAATTGTCATAATGATGGTAATAATAATACTATAATGATAACGATAAAGTGATGATAATAAAATGGTAATAAAAATTATAATTACTTTCTAGCCCTTCGCCTCTCCATAAGACATTTTCCAAATTTTTAGTCATTATATTAGCTACTTCATTTAATTCTGTATTTAATCGATCAAGGTTATGTTGTGTTCTAGTGTTTTGATACACTTTTTTAGTTTTTTGCATAAAAGTATCTATTAAACAAAAAAAACAAACAATGTAATGAATATGATTATATAAGCGTAAGCATAACATCTATAATACATATATATAACATAATTACCAAATTTAACAAATGCATAAGGTCTCAAAGTTCGTTTCTCAACTTCGTTTCCATAACTCATCAAAAACTCTTTCGCAAGTTCTTCCAAATAACTAAACGCAAACTGACGTGGATATGACCTTTCACAAATTGTCATATAACAAACTCCATTTTGAATAAGATAACTTAATTTTTTTTTTGATAAAACCAAATATATTAATATGAATTATATAATTGTTTAGTTATAATAAGTAGCGATGAGTAATTTGATTTCTTACTGGAAAACATAATTTCCTGATTCAATTGAACATCGTTCTTCAGAATTCTCATTCATTTTTTTAAATAAAAGCTTGGCTTTGTTTTTATAATCTGCAAGTTCTGCTTCATTAGACTAATAAAATAATAAATACATTAATACCTTAAATCCAATTTTATTTACAAACTATTCGATCCAAGCAAAGCTTCAAATACCTGATCATCATCAACTGAGGCTGCCAACGGAAGACCTTTTTAAACAATTTACAATTGTTAATAAAAAAAAATAAGTCTTTTTGTTGAGGAGGAAATAAAAAATAAGTACCATCAGAGATTCTAGCTATTACTGTGTGTTTAACCATTTCCTTGTATATTATTTAAAAAAAAATCAGAAAATTTGAAAAGTTTGCCGTGTCACATTTCCTTAAATATAGTGCAGATCATCTATACTCGAGGGGTTAAAAAATTGAAATATCATGTGATTCACTCGCTTGTTGGATTAAAAAATATCACCATTTAGAGCTTACGTACGAACCGATTCGTCAATTAAATTCGCTGAAAATCTTTTAATTAATATTAATATTATAAACCAAATATCCGAATGATTTTATTGGTTCGTGTGATTTGAACATTCGAATCGTTTATGTAATTCGAATATTCAGATATTCAAATGGTTTGAACGATTCGAATTATTCTATCCCAAGATTACTGATCCGAATCTGGTTCGAACTCGAATCGAATCCGAATATTCGATTCGGCCGGCAAGCTCTACCACCGTTCAATTCAGTTATTCAGCAATAATAATAATAATTGTCGTGTTACCGTATTTTGAACTACACGGCCAATTTTGATAATGATGTTCTTTTTAGTTTAAGAAAAAAGAATATAGGGACATTCGGTATGGTATAACTCTTGCAAAACGTATGGTATGATTTTATTACACTTATCCAATACCATACCATACGTTCTGCAAGTGTTATACCATACTGAATGTCCCTATACTCGATAATAATAAGTTTT